TTTTTTGTGTGGGGGGGGGGGGGGGGGGGGGGGAGCAAACCTGCTTTCTATATATCTTCTCTTCAACAGTTCCAGATGTCATTAATCTATAAACAATGACATCCTTCTTTTGCCCAATTCTATATGCTCGATCAACACTCTGGTTGTCAGTGCTGCATAGTTAATGAAGAATCATGTCATACAATTTAATTTCAAGAGAGTAAATTCCAGCCAGCCTCCACACTAAACTAGTTTTCCGCTACACCAAGCTCTAAAAGGTCAAGCAAAAACCAGATAAAAAACAACCAAGGGTTGCACAAAATACAATTAGCAGGGATAGAGCTTCATCTGTCTAAGTAATCAATTTGAATTCAAAGAGGAATATAGAATTGTTATTCATCACTTTAACAACATCTTGAAAGAGTCATTTGCAAGAATTCGTTGGAGCCTTTAAGTTGTCCCAAAAACAGCTGATATAAATTTGAGAAAGCAAAAACATTGAAGACTATAACAAGTTGGACCTAAGCTGTTGATAGATAATTCTTTTCAACATAGAAAAGCCAATGGAAGCAAGTACCTTGGGTTCCAGGCAGGATCAACTACAATCACACGGTCTGCCTTTGTCAGCGTAAGGCCAAGACCTCCAACTTGAGATGTTAAGAGGAATATTGGAGCTCCATTACCTTCTTGAAAATCCTGAAATTCGGCAGGATAAAGAAAAAAAGTGATATAGACTTCCAAAAAAGTATGAAATGTACTAATTGATTAGAAAAATAAGACCCACATTAACAATCTTTAATCTGTCAGCGGATTTTGTTGTACCATCAATGCGCAAGAACTTGTAACGGTTGGAGGTAAGTGACTCCTGTGAAATCCAAAGATCACCCATAAACGAAGTCCTGTTTCCATGCTTATGACCACATCCACAAATCAAAAGAACAAAAGTTAGATTCCTACCTGAATTAGATTAAGCATCTTCCTTGTCTGAGAAAAGATGAGAACATGATGCCCTTCAGGAATCAGCTTACTCTGTAACAATATTGGAAGGCATCTCAATAAGACTATAATTAGAAATTAATACCACTAGTTAGTAGTTAAATGTCAACACCGATATATAAATACGTAGTCTAACCAGCAGCGACATAATGAATGATATTTTGCAAGAGACACTATCATGTTTCGCCTGAAAATCATCTGTATCAATATTGTCAGCGATATGCATTGCTAGTCTTTCTGCCACACCAGCCTCTTCCTGAGTTAGTGTTGATTCCATCCCTTCTAGAACATCCTCAGCAGCCCTCTTAGTCAAGAGAAGCGGGTGATCGCATATTTTCTTCAGAATCTGTTTCAAAGTAAAACAGGAACTATAAACTGCACCTTTGTAGTTAAACAATGAGTACTAAGTACAGTAAACTATACAAAGAGCTGAGCCCATAAAATGGATCTGGATTCGTGAAAGCAAATTGACAAGAAACATCACAGATTTAATGGAAAAACAAAGAGAAATGCTCAAATTACCGTAAGAGCCGCCAAAGGTGAGCCGTCAAAAGCTGAATAAACTATTTCACTCTTTAGGAAAGCTTCATACAATTGCCTCTGCACCAATGTTTAAGTTAAGCTGTAAGAGACTATGGAGGGTTAAATGAAAGACTGTTTACGCATTTAGCAAACATACCTGGCAATTCGTCAATCTTAGCCAAATGACAAGCTCATTTTTCTTGGAAAGTTTGGCAGCTGTGTCATCATTTTCACCAAAAACCTCACTTTTAAGGCGCCGCAAGAAGAAAGGTTGAATATGATCCCTCAAATTCTATTAATAGAAACAAAGAATCGATTATTTCAAGGACTAACTTTTGTTAAAAGGCCTGGACAGAGTACATCAACACATACCAAAAACAAATTGACACAACTTTGTTTTTTAGGTACAACTGAACACAAGCAGCTATAATTATTCAAAGCCAAATTCCTAACTATTCAATCCTTTACGAAGCTATAGCAGGAAAAAGGACACAAGAGAAGCTCTCGACTTCATTTTCTTGTGTCAACAGGGAAAAAATGTGCAATCTCTTATAAGATTTGTCACAAATTAAAAGCAAGACGGTTGAACAATACCCTAAACATTTTACTTCTTATGCATCTATATCTAATTTATTTCAGTCAAGCAACAAATGATGGATATATAGTAGAATCAAGGCTGGAACAGATGATAGATTTTCCTTTTACCATATGAGGTGAAGCACAAAGATGATTTTAAAACAGCAGATAAGCCAGATTCATAAAGAAATGCACAAAAATGGGGAGATAAATGTTCATAAGCTACCATAAGGTCTCTAGCATTAGTCCCAATGGACAGCCACGCAAAACCTATCTAGCTTCAGATGAATTCTCACCTTTGCTATCGTTGAACCTATCCTTTTTTCTCTATCAGAAGCATTTTTGTCGTTTCCTCGAAGAATGTAATGCTCATAGTTCTCTTTAAACCTACGGAAGCATAAAGCTTTAATACCATAAGACCAAAAAAATTAAGCACAAAAAATCTGAATTAAAGAGAAGATGTTAACCAATTCTTGTCACCCAGTAGTCCAGGGCAGCAGAAGTTAAAGAGAGCCCATAATTCCTGTTCAGAAAAGCAAGAGGGAACCAAGCTGTGCTAAGATAAGAGTCTGAAAGGATATATTCATGGCTGAAACGAAGAGCAAAGTGGTAGATGCCATCAATGATACCTTAAGATTGTTCTGAATCGGAGTACCACTTATTATTATACGGTGAGAACTTGGAATTTCAAGCAAACTTTTGGCCCTTTGTGTACTGGGGTTCTTAATAAGATGGCCCTGGAAGTGTAGTCAAACATATTAATAAAGCAGAAAATAAGCCAATGGTAACTATAGGGTATCTAGTTGGACAAGTAATAGCAAGAACACATATGAGATACTGTTGCAAGAGAATTTTAGATCAATATAAATTTACCTCATCAAGAATCATGTAATCCCAGGTGATTTCATCTTCATCTTCATCATCAGAGAAATGATTGTCACCTTGCAAGGCTTTCGAATTGTTGCGCACAATGTCATAGGTTGTCAAAAGAACACCTTTATCCTACAAAAAAGAATAGAAATAACAACCAGGGTGAAAACATATATCCTCTATAAAGAAAACCCACATAGGGTTCGAATCAGCCTCTCTACATAAATGTAGGGGTAAGGCAGCCTAGCACTGGGTTGATACGGACTGGGTTGGTCCTTTAAAGAAAACCCACATAGCAATAAGACCAAGAGAGTTGATCCAAAATAAACTATTAGTGTACCAAAGATCTCAAAAGAACATGATAATATGCAGGTTACTAGGTTAGTCAAATAAAAATGATTTACAAAAGGAAAGGCCAGTCCTTAATGACACAGAATGCATTCATTCATATAACCAAAATCTTTTAAAGTTTCGAAAATTATCTTTTTGTCACAGTCCAAGTCACAAACTCATCTACAAGTAGTCTAATTGTGTAGACAGCCCTTCACAACAAGCTAATGGAAAGTAAAGAACATTTACCTCTAGAATGTATCGAAGCTCATAGTCTCGAGCTTTAGCAGAGTTGCCATAGTACCTTTATGGGAGATAGAAAACAGTTAGCAACACTATATTAACACATATAAAGTAGATAACAGGAAAAGAATGATTAACATTCTTACTCTCTGGTCATTCTTGAAAGTCCAACAGCAGTTAATTCTTTGATCCAGTGAGGCAGCAAGGTTTTTGGGGCCACTATCAGAGCACGCTTGATCAATTTAGAGTGGAACAAACCAGAGAGAAAGCTGCAGATCTACAATGAAAATCAACTGAAATCGTTTAAACAGCAAGGCATATTGCCATCCAAAAAATCAAAAAACAAGTATGAAATTTCCTTGCCTGCATTGTTTTTCCTAAGCCCATATCATCACCTAAAATTCCACCCTTTCCCTGTGTATGAAGTGACCAAAGCCACTTCAACCCTTCCCGCTGATGTGGATATAACATCGTAGCAATCTTTCCAGGTAATATGTAAGAAGATTTGAGGCCATTTAAGGTGATAGATCCTTCATCTTCTACCACTCCATCAAGATAATAATGTGTATCGATGTCAATAGAACGAGCAGGCTTCTTAGGCTTTTCAACACGGCTTGTTACTTCAGCCACCTTTGGCCCAGTCAAAACTACACAGTCATCATCATCCTCATCTAATTCCCTCAGCTTAGAGACATTGGAACTTCCAACTGATCTAAGTTTCTCGTTCATGTCTGTGTACCTACTCGTCTTTAGGCTTCGTCCTACTTCCTGATTTTGACTAATTCCACTTGCAAATTCCTTGTGCAGATCGGCAGGCGCAGGACCTATATCATGACCGTCATCTTCAGAGTTAGAACGACATGGTTGTCTAGAAGATGGGATGTGCCTGCTTAATCTCCAAGAGTTTTCTTCCCCTTCACCTTCAAAATCTTTTGTAGCTTTCGTTTCATGAAGGGCACAACTTCTGCGGCTCAGCTCATCCTCGAGATTATCAACTTTGGCAACACGTTTACCAACCAAATCTGATGAGGAATCAGATATGTCAGATATAAGGGAAAACGAGGATTTTGTGCTCTCAAAATCATCAAGGTGGCATTTTACTCCGCCTTCATCCAAATCATTGCTTTGGGTATCTTTCTTCTTCTGGATGGACATTGATCCTAGCTTAGAGGTCAAATCATCCAAAATATCCCTAATCTCGTTCTGCCCTCCACCACCTTGCCTCTCTTCTTTGCATCTAGGCTGAGGTGAAACCGAACCGAAGTCTGTGATCAGTGAGAAGTTGGGTTCACCAGTGACCACCGTGTTGGCATCCTTGGCTTCATCCCGTGATGGGAACTTGCTTCCACCCTCTGCTCTCTTGGGTTTCGTTGCTGCTTTAACTGATTCAAGCATCATCCGAGACAAACACAACTCAGTAACGCATCTTCTTTGAAGGTATTTCCACAACATGAAGAAAACGAACAGGATATGTGAAAAGTCTATCAACCAAACATTTCCAAGAACCCTAAGCATTATCATTTTTGCCAGTAGAACCCTTATTCTGTAAACGAAGAGTTTCACTGAATTATAGAGAACATGTAAGGTCCCATCAAATGAGTATCGGATGTAAACATCAAAAACCCTAAATATCCGCAAACGCAGAAGATTACCAGGAGAATCGAAATCCAACAAATCGAAGTCGGGATCGGCTAATCCGTCATCTACCGCTACGTCTTGCTTAGCAGAGGCCTTGCAGAGGCGGCGTCGTCCTGCCAATTTCACCATAGATGGTTTCCCTCCTACATCTTCTCCGTCTGCGAAACCAAACAATCAGACAAAATCAACACCAAAACTCGCACCTGGGCAATGGAAAAGAGAAATGAACAAGAGAAAAAACCGAGAAAATAGGTCGTACGAGAAGAGGAAGGAGGTTGTTTAGGAGGTGCAGAGAGATCCTGAAGGAGGCGATAGTGGCGATCGTTCAAGCTCAGAGGTCTTCTTCCTCCACGTCCGGACGTATCGTCCGCCATTTCTGCGCCGTAAACGAAGACGAAAGAAGCAAGAGAGGAGACCTCAGGGCTTATCCCTTCCGACGATCCTTTCTTGGAGACAGAAAAGGCGCAATGGCTCTGTCGAGTCCCGCTCTCCTGCCTTTTGATTTTTGAAATTTCTCACTTTCAACTTTTAAGTATTTCTATATAATATGAAGTCGAACGGTCATATTATCAACAAAATTAATATCCTAAAACAAATACCTATTAAATGTGAAAAACAAAAGAAAATACCTATTAAATTGGTATTATATCAAAAACACACTTATTTTGCTATTTTGACTTAACATACGCTCTTCTTTAATTGTGATTATGTGACTCATGTAACAAAAAATTTAATTTTGGTCATATTGATTATAACGTTAAATTTACGGTGATTACACATATTCATTATGTTCATACATTATATATATCATTAATTATTTGATACAAATATTATAAATTCAACGTTATAATCAATGTGACCAAGATTAAATTTATGATCACATGTATAACAGATTAACAGATTGAGAAGTGTATGTCTTAAAATCAAAATAGCAAAGTAAAAGTATTTTTGATAATGATCCTATTAAATTCAATTTCTTCACATCCTTATGTGAATGAATTTTTATTAAAATGGTCATTTTGGTAATTTATTCACAAATCTTTTGAACCAAAAAACAAGTAACCCAATCTGATTGTATTGTTTTTAAATATAAAAATAGCCGAAAAACATATTTTTTTATAAAATACATATTTTTATCATTAAAAATGAAATTTAATTGAAACCAAACCTAACATAAAATAACCAAATATTTTTCAAAATCGAACCGAATACCAATGACAAATAAAAAACAAACAAAAAACTGAAACATCCGATCCTATATTTCATGCTTATGCAAGTGTCTGTTTATTACGCTGATCATATAATTACTAATCCCAAATACAATTATCGTTTACAAATTTGTGTACATATACATACTATATACTATATAAACCATTGAGTAAAAACCAAACAACATCAATCAAACTAGGTTGAATCTCGATTTGGGAGAGATATTCCTCTGAATTTTTTGATCGGCAAAATGTAATTGGATCAAAGTTTCGATAAACTTTCCCATTATATTTTTTTTAAAAAAACACCAACTACAATAGAAATCTCAAGAACACAAGCAAGTTCAAGTGTTGTTTCTAACAGACAGAGGTTCTGGTGCACTGTAAAGCCCCGGCAGAGCTGGTCAGTGCCTTGACGCTCCTTGCGCTCGCGACGCTGAAGCTCTGGTCGCCGCTGTAATTAGGCCTCGCGCCCCCGACGCCCTTCTGGAGCGTGAACGACGCCCCGTTCTCGAAAAAATCGTTCACCGAGTAGAATTTCCACTGCAGCTTGTCCCCGTCGCTTTGTTTCTTCCACGTAACCTACAAAGATCAATTTTTTTTTTATCGATCGATGATTTTTCGAGCTACGATCTTTGATATGTTTTTTTCTGGGTACCTCTTTGGATCCGGATTCGGGTGCGATGAAATAGTTGGATTCGCTCTTTACGCGGGGGCTCATGCTTCCTCCGATGGCGTATTGCGTCCATCCTTGGTAGAAATTGTTCGCCACATGCGCGTATCCGTGTCGCACCCTAGAAGATGAATACATAAAAGAATTTACATATATATATATGTGTGTGTATGTATGTATGTATGTATGTATGTATGTATGTATGTATGTATGTATGTATGTATGTATGTATGTATGTATGTATGTATGTATGTATGTATGTATGTATGTATGTATGTGTGTGTGTGTGTATGTATGTATATGCCTGGGCATTCTTTGGTTGCAGTTGGGACCAAAGTGGTTGAACGCGACGGTGACTCTCATGTCCTTGTCTCTGACGAAGCCATCGTCGTGTCCGAGGAGCATGACCTTGTCCTGGTTCCTGAACCAGTTGTTGGACACCGTGACGTCGGTCGTCCCCCTGGTGACGTCGAGCAGGCCGTCCTGGCAGTCGTAGAGGGTGTTGTGGTCAATCCACACCTTCCTGGCCGTGACCAGCCGGATCGCGTCCCCGTCCACTTGCCCTAGTTGGATCACCTTCGAGTCCGGGCCCATCACCGAGCTCGGCGCGTGTGCTTTGCAGTCATGGATCTTCAGGCCGTGAATTATCACATCCGTCGCCTGCTCACATTCACAAAACACATACACACATATTATTATTATTATTATTATTATTATTATTATTATTTTGTAACGGTCGCATGCACACATATTATTTTTTAAAATCGAAAAAACCGAATCAAAATAAATAAAAATAACAAAAAACATGAAATTCTTTTATTTTTTTATCAATAAAAGCTTAATCCAAAACAAAACCAAATCGCATTCAATTTAAAACAAAATCGAATAACATATAACCATATATGTGAACCGATCTGATATAAAAACCAAAATGATTATGATGTCTCTAAAATTGAAAAATTGAACCAAATTATAAAAATAATAAAAAACTAAAGATTTCTTTTGAAAAATAAGTTTTTATCAATGAAAATTGAATCTAAACTGAACCCGAATTTATTCGAATTGGATATAAAAATCGAATTGTTATCGTTTTTTAAGTGAAATAACCGAACATGAATATAATCGAACAACATGCAATGTTTCGATCCACTTCCTGTGTTTAAGTTTCAGGGAGTCGAATTTCCGAGCCCTTACCTTATAAACGATGAGGCAAGCGGGGCCGGAGATGTGAACACTGACACCACGACCATCGAGAGTGGTGAAGCTGCTGATGAGAAGCGGTTTATGAAGATGGATCTTCATGTTCCTCTTGAAGGTGATCCATTTCTTGCCCTTGACGAGTGTGGCTCCGTATCTAAGGGTTCCGGGTTTAGGGTTCAAAGGATCATCAGACGGGTCGATCACTTTGTAATAAGTGACTCCTCCACCGATATTACCCGTCATTTTTCCCGCGAACCCGACAGAACACCTCGCCATCTGCTGCCTGTTTCTACGCCACTCGGGATTCAGCCTCCAGCATTTGTCGATCACGTTCAATTCCTTCGCCTCCAAGGCATTTGCGACGAATAGAACGACTAAGAGCTGAATCATAATCATAACGATGTCGGAAAACCTAACCATGTCTTTGATTCGATATACAGATTTGAGTTCTTGTTGAGTGTGCAAACTGTGAAGAAAGCTTGATTGTGTTGGAAGAGTGGCAGAAGGCACAGCCTTTATATATAGAAATGGAAAAAGAAAATTCTGTTTTTTCCTGGTTTCATAATGAGCGTACAAAATTGAAAAAAATATAATAAGTTGAAGCAAAATTCTAAAATAGAAGGAATATTTAATGGAAGGATGCCGTTTCGTTATAAATATATGTAACTGATTTGCCTGAATTAGACATTGGTGTTAGAGCTTTAGTGATTAAGAACCAAAGGGTCTTCTAAGTATTAATGTTTTAGTTTCAGTGGTTATGTTCTCAATCAAGAACCTACTCCATGGCTAACCAGTCTCTGCCCGAGACCGAAAACGAGTGCTTTTACAGCCCTTAAACCCGAGGAAGACCGGGCCAAAACCGAGACCAGCCCGAAAATCTCGGGTACCCACCCACACCCGCTCCTAGTTTCTCCGGTGTGTTCTGCTCTATCTTCTTGTTGGATCATTTTGAAACACAAGATCATCAAATGAACTCCATTACCGTTGTTTATACACGTGAATCCACAAGAAGAAACCTGTACATAAAGGGGATTTCCTAATGCCTGAGCTTACATATTTTAAGTGAACAGCCTCAATCTGGTCGTTATAGGTTGTCTGCACATTGGGCATATCTTCACAGCCACACCACATTCCTTGCAAGTCTTTAAGAGAAAACCGAAAAAAAATGAAGGGTAAGTTCACACATTCTCGAAAGCAAAACTCTAAGCCAAGCAAAGCTTACTTATGCCAGAGAATTCACTCACCAAATGGCCACAGCCAAAAGCCATGTCCTTTGGGTTCGTCAAGCAAATGGGACATACCTTTCAGAAAACAAAGAACACCTGACCTTAATCAGAGAAAAACCACCAACTCAATGACGAGACAGAAGAGAGAGAGAGTTACCCTACCGGTTCTGTTTCTCGAGCTGTTTCACTTTTCTCGCTATTTCCAGCTCGTGGCACTGATCTAATGGCATTATCGTTCTGTGTAGCCTCTGGTGGAGGTGGAAGAGTTTTCATCCGTTGGTGTAAACCTCGAACCGGTCTTCCTCCACTGTGTAAAAATAAAGAACCTTCTTTTTTTCTTCACAATGTTCAAGAACCTTTAATGGAAATGAAAGAAATAAAGGAATGTCGGTTTCTGACAAACTCTTACCTAACAGACTGAAGGCTTAATGTGGCCTTGTACTGAAATGGAATCTCCATGAGGGCTGCAAGTGCGAAAGCCGCCTCCTTTTTCCCTGCATCTGTCTGCTCTGACATTATCTTCGTGAAATTCACAAACTGCGGAATCAAGATTGTTAAAATCAGCGAATAACGAGTTCATAAATAGCGATCAGCTCAGTTTCACCGGTCATCATCATTATCTCTTGATAGCTGTGACAAAGACAGTGTTTGCATACAAAATGCGTATCTGGGTATTGGTCCCATTATACATACCTGGAAGTTATCGAATTCACGGTGAGGAATATTGTCATCAAATTGCTTCATAGCATCCCAAGGGCCATCTCCTACTCCAACCAAGACGATCGACAAGGGGTAATGGCTGAATTTTATTGTCAAATGGCATGTCAACACCAATAATATAACACAAACCCGAGCTCATAGTAACAATCAACAGCACATCTACATTACCTAGCCCCCATTATGGAACTGACTGTAGCCTCTTCCTGGGGACTAAGCCGACCGGGGGGCACATCGGGATTCCTGGTCACCTGCCCGTCCGCAATGATGACAAGCACATGATACCGCACACTGTTCTGCTCAACTATGTCAATGGCTGCATCTATAACTGGTGCAAATGAGGTAGGACCTGCCAGGAATAAAAAAAAACAACCGAAATCTTCAGAAAGAAGAGCAAGAGAGCAGAGAGAGAAAAAAAACTCTGGCCTGAAAATAGCCAAAGGAGAAAGTTGCAGTCACATTACCGGACAACTTCAAGTGTGGAACGATCTCTCTATATCTTTTCATAACATCTTCAAAACCGTGACAAGGCTCGTTATCCGGGTAAAAGCTGAATACATGTTTATCATGTGTTGATGCTGCAGACAGAACAATGCACAACCTTGCAAGTTTAATCTAGACAGAAGCTTCAAAAAGACATTGCTACAAATACATTAAAGCCTTGAAAACAGACTTAAGAGGAGCTAACCATCACCAAAGCCGAAACAAGGTATGAGATTATCTTCATCAAAGGGAGTCAATGTACGGCCAATTATGGATATTGCTTGCTCGTAGGGATTTGGCCTGTTACCGATGGCATGAAGGCTTTTTCTATTGAATGAATATCTTCCTGCAAGCATAACCCAACATCCCAAGTTCCTTTTTGATACTCATCCGTTGGGGATTATCTGTTTGTGAAACTGAGAATGAGTCATCTGTCCATTCGTTGCTCTTGGTGAAGTCAATTCCCAGTATCAAGTTCGAGGATTCAAGTCCAGAATCTCTCAGAGCAGATATTACCTATAAGAAGTTAGACAAGATATGTCTTATGATATCACTTGGTTCCATTAACTGGAGAGACATATAAAAAAACTCAGAATCAGGAACCAGAAAGAGTGATGATGGTGAGACCTGATCTAAGTTGCTGAAATGATCAGCTATATATTTGGGTCTTTGATCATATATGTAGCCGCGATTCATCGGAATTCCTGCACAAGCATTCCACTTTCTTTAAACCCATTATCGAAGAATTCCATTACACAAAAAAAATCTGTCGTCAAGAATTTCACTTTCAAAACCCACGATCAAGAACTCTACAAGAACAAAAATAAAAAACTTTTGACACAAAAAAACGTCGTCAAAGAACTCAACTTTTTTTCAAACACAGGACCGAGAAGTGATCAAGAGTCCTGTCAGCAAAATAACCGTCATCGATAATTCCTTTTTCAAATCCATACAAGACTTCCATAATTAGCAGAAATTCCATTTTCAAACCCGTAAATCAAGAGCTCAACAATTAGCTAGAACAAAATTCAAGTATTCCACTTTGAAACTGAAATTCAAGGATCCCAGTTCTAGCTAAAACACTGTCAGGACCCAAGTGATCAAAACAAAAATAAAGAAAAAAAATTGAAAGCAATTATATAAGCAGTCAGCGGGAAAGGAGGAGGGGAAAATATCAACCTGGAATTGGCCAAAAGAAGCAAAAGAACTCAGACGAACTATCCTTCAGCTTCTCCTAAATTTAAAACATCAGATAAAGCAAATAACACGAACAAGATCAAAGGTGGGTTTTGTTGACATTTGCAAGCCACTGGAGTTGCGTTGCTTGCGCTGGCGATTTTTCCAATAATACCGACGGAACTTGTCGGTTCTTCCCAAGGAAAATGGCTTGGCGTTCACTGTTTTGCCCGTTATCCAGCCAATAATGGGCCGTGTGGGACCCACTAATGGAAAAGCCCAATTTAGTATTAATATTATGGGCCACTCACGGCCTGAGTCCACTCCCTTGTGGGAGGGACCCACTAATGGGCTTGATAAAAGCCCAATTTAGTATTAATATTTTGGGCCACTCATGGCCTGAGTCCACTCTCTTGTGGGACCCACTAATGGGCTTGATAAAAGCACAATTTAGTATTAATATTTTGGGCCACTCACAGCCTGAGTCCACTCTCTTGTGGGACCCACTAATGGGCTTGATAAAAGCCCAATTTAGCATTAATATTTTGGGCCACTCACGGCCTGAGTCCACTCTCTTGTGGGACCCACTAATGGGCTTGATAAAAGCCCAATTTAGTATTAATATTTTGGGCCACTCATGGCCTGAGTCCACTCTCTTGTGGGACCCACTAATGGGCTTGATAAAAGCCCAATTTAGTATTAATATTTTGGGCCACTCATGGCCTGAGTCCACTCTCTTGTGGGACCCACTAATGGGCTTGATAAAAGCCCAATTTAGTATTAATATTTTGGGCCACTCACGGCCTGAGTCCACTCTCTTGTGGGACCCACTAATGGGCTTGATAAAAGCCCAATTTAGTATTAATATTTTGGGTCACTTATGGCCTGAGTCCACTCTCTTGTGGGACCCACTAATGGGCTTGATAAAAACCCAATTTAGTATTAATATTTTGGGCCACTCATGGCCTGAGTCCACTCCCTTGGTAAAGTAATTAATCAAGTCGGAATGTAAAATTAATTTTTTTTTTTCCAATTTCTTCTTATTTATAAATTTCTCGATGACAAAAACATAAACCGTTTTTGCAAATTAAATTTGGAAATATGAGTTGCAATCTACAATTCTCGGAATTTATTAGAAATGGTGGATACATAATCTTATGCAATTACAAAATATAATATACATGTTTATATTTTTCCTAGACATATATTTCGTTTACAGCTATGATTATAACATTTTCCAATAAATTTGTTGTTTCTTGTGATAATATATATAACGAGAACTTATATACTCCAATTCAATTAATTGTACACGTGCGCATTGAAAGCCACCTAACCAGTGCGACTTACATACCAACAAAATACACGTGCGCAATTGAACTGCCAATCTACCATGGTTTCCTCAGTCCAACATTACAATTTCACCAAATATCAAAATCATATATAGATTCTGTAGCTTTCCTCGCTCTGAATTTTAGAATAACACAAATTACACCATTGAATGCATTTAATTTTACACCAATTATATACGATAAATGATAAATTGAACTGAAATAAGGTTGTTCTTGATAATAGAGAATACGTTTTAGGTGTAATTGAATATTTAGATAAATATGTGGGCGTATTTGAAAAATACGAGAAATATTGATAGTTGTCTGAAACAGTGTGACGTGGGACATCGGCTTTTGCGATTTTATCTTCAACTGCTAAAAAAAAGAATCGTAAGAAAATGTCTATAAATTGCTTAAGAACAGCGAGGGCTCCGCTCCAATCAAGAACGACGGCAACAGCATTTTCGAGACCTAGAGATTCCTCGAAACGATTCGTGTCCTGTTCAGTGGTTTCTCTCAGAGTAGTTTCATCCATGTCTTACGACAAAGAGCTTGATGCTGCTAAGAAAGCTGCTTCCCTCGCGGCTCGTCTGTGTCAGGTAGGGTTTCTTGTTTCTGACTGATTGATTAGTGATCCTTTTTCGTCGATTCGAGCACGACCCAGCTTCTAAAGTTTGTGTTCTTAGAGACCCATTTTGTAAATTTCTGGAATTGGATTAACTTGGAATTTAATACTGTTGCTCGTTGTTTGAGATATTGATTCATCATTTGGGTTCTGGGACAACAAGGGTTTGTGGATTGTGGATCAATATGCAGAAATTTTGCGGATTTCTGCCTAAAAACCTGTTTTTCGATTAAGATTTTGCTTTTGTCGCTTCAATGTGATCGAACCGAGGGATATTCCAATGGATAGTTTCAGTCGGTGAATTTTGCTCCTTAGATTGGTCTGATGCGTTTATTTATCCAATGGGGAACCAATTTGAATTTAGTGATTACCTTGATCTCGATTGTCTCTTGGAAGTGATCAGAATGCTGATTTAAGAAAACCAGGATATGTTCCATATCTCGTGCAGATTTGTCTTTCAACTTCTCTCATTGTTTTTTACCTGTTTTCCATGAGTTCAGAAGGTTCAAAAGGCTCTGTTGCAATCCGATGTCCAATCAAAATCAGATAAAAGTCCAGTGACAGTGGCTGATTATGGTGAGTTCCCTACCATTTCCTGCTACTGTTTTCCTTCATACTTCGGACTCATAATTCTGTCGATGACTACACGTCCTGCTTGAAGAGTGGATGGTTTTCTCATGATCTTAGGTCTAGGTTCAGTGATGTTTACTCGGAAACATTTTCTTATGCTGAGATTGCAGGTGGATATCTAGCAACTTTTTGCAATGTAGAAGGCTGAACAGGCTATGGATTTATGAAATTTCCTTACCATCGCTTTAGTATGAAAGGCTAATGCTATATCTTGAAGCCTTTGCTTGACAGGTGTATATAGAGAATGAATCTGCATCCATTATCAACCTCTCTTCACTGTTCGCTTTTTTTTTTGCTATTGACAGGTTCACAAGCTGTTGTCAGCTTGGTTTTGGAAAAGGAACTCCATCCCGAGCCGTTGTCGATGGTGGCTGAGGAGGTGAAACAACTAACCCTTTTCAAGAAAACATCCCCATTCTCCAATTTATTGCAGAGTTTATGAAATTCTGTTGACATCGGGTCTCATTGTTTAAATATCTGAAGGATTCAGGTGATCTACGCAAGGATGGTGCACAGGAAGTTTTGAAAAGGATTACAAAACTTGTGAATGACACTTTGTCTATGGACGAATCATTCGGTAATTCTACCTTATCCACGGAAGATCTACTCAGGATCATTGACTGTGGCTCATCTGAGGGTGGTCCGAATGGTCGGCATTGGGTCTTGGATCCTATTGATGGTACCAAAGGGTGAGTCTCATATTATATATTTCTTCATGGTATTTTCCTCGTTGTTTGACACTCTGCATTTTAGAACTGTATGTAAGCGTGATTTAATCATAGGATGGGTGGTCTATTGTCCTAGAAAGGCTTAGTTGACAAGACCTAAGATCTGTATAGAAGTAGTTACCTTCAGGACACAAAGATGCCGTTGTGTGAAATTTGTCTTCCTTTTTTGACCGTGCCGGATCTTTTTGCTTTGATATTCATTCACTCTATCTGATATTCTGATTGTTTGCTTTATTGTCTCCATAGATTTCTGAGGGGAGATCAATATGCAATAGCTTTAGCCTTGCTCGAGGAAGGGAAAGTGGTGTTGGGTGTCCTAGCTTGTCCAAACCTTCCCTTGGCATCCATAGCTGGAGACAACAACAAGAACTCTTCATCTGACCAAACCGGCTGCCTCTTCTTTGCCACAGTAGGTTCAGGGACATACATGCAGTTGCTAGATGCAGAATCTTCTCCTGTCAAGGTATATATAGCTTGCTTTCTCATCGATACCGGTCTTGGTCTGCTGTATCACTGTTATAAGTTATAACACGTTTGATTGTAGTTCAGGTGCAAGTGACTGCCATTGAAAACCCGGAAGAAGCATCTTTCTTTGAGTCATATGAAGCAGCCCACTCTCTTCACGGTTTATCTAGCTCCATTGCCAATGTACTATCTCCCTCTTTTTCATCCATTTCTCGATAAAATCTCCATGATGACAAACTCTCGTACCCACATATGGAATCTGGTTGTGTTCTTCCTTGCTTAACAGAAACTTGGTGTCAAGGCACCACCAGTCCGGATCGATAGCCAAGCAAAGTACGGGGCGTTGTCCAGAGGAGACGGAGCAATATACCTTCGGTTTCCTCATAAAGGATACCGTGAAAAGATATGGGACCATGCTGCAGGTGCCATCGTCGTATCTGGTATAACCCTTTTCTCTTCTCCTTCATTTTCGTTAATCGACTTACCAACTAGACTTTTTCTTTTGCTGTGAGGTTTTGCCCGATAAATCTCACCCAAGAGAGCTCATGTATTATCTAATCTAGTTTTTTTGATGATCAATGAGCAAGACTAAGGTAGATCTTAGGGACGACGATAACGTTAAGGAAGTGATAATAATTTTGCGAGGATGGTTTTGTGCAGAGGCAGGAGGGATTGTTACTGATGCTGCTGGGAAGCCATTGGACTTCTCCAAAGGAAAGTTTTTGGATCTCGACACTGGCATTATTGTCACCAACGAGAAGCTGATGCCACTGCTGTTGAAATCAGTTCGGGAATCCATAGCCGAGCAATCTGCATTGTGATTCCTTCCGTAAGTTTCTTCAGTTTGAGTTCCATAGTCTCTTTCCATCTGTGGAGACATGAGATGAGATTTGAAGTTGAATTCCGTAAAGGGCTTTGTCTCCTTGCCCATGTTTCTCATGTCTGTTTGCTCTGAAAATGTATAAATAATGGCCGAATCCAATCTGTTTTACCATTTTGAGCGACAGTGGTAGTTAACGTATACTTTTTATTAATAAAAAGAAGGGTACACTCATGGGCAGAAAGAATGTGTATTTCCTTTTGTCCTAACACAAGAACACTGCCTAAAGAGAGGAACAAATGAAAAGAAACAATGAGCTTCAAAGACTTATAACTGAGCAACGAGGAGTTCATTCCATGTATCAGGGATTCCGGGTAAGCACCAATGCAAGCAATCGTTGATTATTTGAGTCTCGTTACTACTAACCTTCTTCGGTTTTCTTGGCTTCAACTTCGAGCCAGAGATATGAGCCTCGTCCCGAAGCTCGGAGAGAGCTGTAATGTCCAAAATCTTGATCCTTGACCCGTTCAACGCCCTCTCCACGGTTGTATCCATCGATCCATCAGCTGTGATTTTGCTTCCTCTAGTCAACGGAACCGTGTTATTGCAGTTTCCCCCAGAGTTCCAATCTCCGTTTCTGAAATGCCTCGGTGAGATGGTTCTGAAGAAAGCCGTTAGCCGGGGATGAAGAGGAAGCTGTGAATCCAGCCACTTGACTATGCTCTGTATTGTGAAATCCTTGGCGTTTCCTATGTCCTTGAAATATTCGTTGTTGACCGCTGTTCCATTAACGTGCATCACCCAGTGGTTTCCTTCAATCTTGCCTCTGTTCCAATGGTGACCCGTGTTCAGGATCAATACGTCGAAGCGGTGAAGGTATGTTCTCATGAATGCTGGTGGAAGGTCCAAATGCATGGCGATGAGAGGAGGTGAATCAGAGTTGTTCATTGGTACCAAGTCAGACAAACTTGCCGACCAGTAGTACAAGATTGTCGTGTTGGTGGTCGGAAACCGGTAAGCCCAGCCATCTGGTCGAAGGGCGCCTTTTGGTTTGACAAGACCATATTCCCATCCCACATCTTGGACCTCTGGGCTCTCTTCGCCACCAGAGGCCATGCACATAAGGGATTGAAATTGTTGCCTGCCCAATGAGTCTCCTATGAAGGCGATCGTCTTGTTCTGCATTCTGAAAAAGCAAAAAGTTAGGCGACTTGAAAAAAAGGCCCATGTAATAGTAAATGATGTTGAAGACATCATCAGCGAAAAAGGGTATTAAAGTAACTCTAAAATCATTGCAAGTTTCGCGAAGAATATGATTGCAGGAATGAGAGTTTAAGAAAGAAAGGTGACTGTGTCCAGTCCGGTTTGAATATGGATTTTGCATAGGTGAAAGTTCAGAAATGAAATACAGTTGACGGTTGAAATAGATTCTGTCATACCTTCTCAAGAATGCAGATCGCTCAAAACCCGACACACTGCAACCTTCTGGTTGCCAACGGTAATGCTCGAACGAGAAATCTGTCCTATCCATCATTCTACATGCCCACATAGCAGATAACCACCGTTTACATTCAAAACCAGAATACAAAGGCCTTCGACGGTCCTCAACCCATTTTCCCTTGGCAAAGTTACAGACTGCAGGCGAGAAATTGGAGTATTGTTAGGGGGAAAAATCGAAGAGGAGGGCATAATCAATTTTCACATATAAGTAGTTCAAAGGCAATCAAATTAACAGCAGAAGACATTACAAAAGAATTCAAAAGAACGAAACAAACACGAGAGATAGCGTAACAAACCTGAAGAGGAAACTGAAAACTGGCGCTGCATTTCAAATATAGACGTATGGAAAGGATTCTTCTCCGAAACCAGAATTAATACCATCAAAAGGATGAGAATTACTAAAGCAAGTGATACGCTCCCTTTGTATACGCAACTTTTTCCTCCTAGCATCCTGATTTGATTGCCAGAGGTAACATCAACTCTGACAAAAAGACAGCTTCTGCTTCGTTGATGTTCAAGATCTTTGCAGGGACCCAGTCGTTAAGGGCCGGTTACTATAGCTTATGTTCAACAAGCCTTAGCTGCATCACGAAATCTTAGTCAGAAACATAAAAGCTTTGAACAACATTTTATAATTAGGCAGCCTGTGTATGCAATAGGCAAGAGATGGGGTTTTTCCATTCTTCTAGTAAGCAAAGCTGGAGAATAAAGCAAAGAAGAGGACTATTTCGACTCAAACGAGAGATGCTGATGGCCTCAGACCCACATGCTAAACCTAATTGGTAAATCGACATTTAGCATTTGCATAAGCACCGGATTCATGGACGGTCAGAATTGAAATCACTCAAAGAAAAATTGGAAACATACCGACAAAACTAACTACGAAGTCAAAGCAATGCCTGAGATCTCCAGATGATCTTGTTTTCATGATCCAAATAACTAATAGTTCACATTATAGAAAAATCAAATTAGCATCTGACAGATCAACTGTCCAATTGTAGTTTAAGTTTCAGCTCTTAGATCGCCTACCATTGTTGTTACACAAAGTTCACACCCTGAGGAAGAGGACTTAGTTCAACAATGACATCTCACTATCTCAGACATTCATATGCTCTAAACCTTTTATGCCAATTTTCTGCATCCTTACACTACAGAATCTTGAGCTACTCTCGAAAAAATAACGGTAGCATTGCAGACAAGAACACAAATCCTTTTCTCCAGAGGACAAAACAATCTAACATTATCCAAGGATGAAATAGCAAAACACCTTAAATCAATAAACATCACTAACTTATGGATAAAAGGGACATAGCTCAAGCACCCAAATTCACAGCTACCCAGCTCAGATCAACCTCATACCAGTCCCTGGAACCTAACACTGCCAAATGTAGTGGCTTCTTCACTCATCGGACAAGCTAAGTAACAAAAGAACCTAAACTGAATCCAGTTAAGGTGATAACTCTATGATTGTGACATGAACTCACTCATCCACTACGCGAACAACACTCGTCGGATCTAGACACGAAGAAGATTCTAGTTACGTCTTCGTTCACTTAACCCAAACCCGCGAACCAGAAACCCGACGATATAATTCTCCATCACGCGAACCGACTGACGAGATAAGCTAAAACCCAATCACAAAACCAGATGAACAACAAAAAATCGAAAGATCAAATGCGAATATTGTTCAACCGAGTTGATCCAAGAGATTCGGGAATTGAAGTTTCTTGCGCACAAAGCCAAGGGCACGGTATTCTGGAAACGAACTCATGATATACAGATTCTAGAACTAGAGATGAGACAAGAGAAGGGAAAATTTACCCCGAAAAAGAAAGATCGACGTTGGGTTCTTCGATAATCGAGCACCGGTAAATTGCAGATCTCGCCGACCATGTATGTGATCTCCAATTGAAATGGAAAATCACAGATGGAAGGAAGGAACAAGACGATGATCATCAGAAGATAACCGGGACAAAACCGAACCGTGAACCAGATAGAACCAGAAAACCGGTTCTGAAATTTTCACAAATTTTTTAGGGATTAGTACAGTTTAAGCAAACAACCAGTCCAATGATCATTAATGTATATCCGATGCATGTATGTAACATTATTATTATTAATTTATTATTATTTAATACATAACCAGAATTGTGCATTGGTTAGGCAAATTTTAAGATTTCCATGGCCTTGTTAAGCGTTGACACGTCATCACTACCTTGGTTGTCCGCGGAGGTGAGCGCGTGCATTGCACCGTCATGGAGATACGGTCACTGTTTCACGCGCCGGCTCGGATCCACGAGATCCGGCGGTATCCAATATGATATCATAATAAAAAAAAGGAGATTGAATAATTATTCATTTTATTTTGTATTTAGATATACCCATATATCTTGAATACATAACAGTTGCAAGTGAAAAAAATATTTGTAATTTTACAAATGCAAATTATGGTCAAAATATCAATTTGATAAATTTATATAATTTTGTTGGGATTGTGAAAGTGAAGATATCTCAGTTGACAAAATTAGGAAATGTAAAAATAAATAAATTATTGTTTAGATATCATTCCACTAAATTCACGGCTTCTCCGTAGTTCACTCTTCTCTTCCCCCCGCGTAATGATGATCATCGCTCACGAAGCAACTAAAACAAGCCTCCTATATACGTGTGTATATATGTATATATATGCACCTGTCTTTCTCGAGAAAGTGACGGAAAATGGCTCCGTAGAGATTCAGATGCTATATCCTCTCCCTCCTATTCTCATTACGTTTGGTGTTTATCGTCGGTATCATAAGTACGCCTTTCTCTCTCGTTCGTTCTTTCAATTTTTTTTTTTTGCCTGGCGATGTCGATAATTGTTCATTGGCGGAGAACATTGTTTCTTCTACTAAATTTTTGCTGCAGATCTGCTGTGGTTCTGTCTGGGTAATGCAATTTTCGTTCTTTTGAGTTGGATTCATCGGTCGTGAATTGTGTGTTTTGGTCGTGACTTGAGAGTGAATCTGAAGTATGTTTTATGAATTTCAGTTGTCTCTCTCATCTTTTTCCATAGGTAGGATGCTGATTTTGTGAGGATTCAAGTAGATTTGGTAATATTCACTTCGATTTTTGTTGCATTTTTTGTTTGTTTCTTGGGGATTGAAAACGTTTGTCAGATGTTCATTTGAAGCTCTTCTGTTTCTGCCCTCTTTCCTTTTAAGCCAAAACTCAGTTCCTACAAGACAAGCCTTAGTAATATTGGTGTTTTTTCTGGATCTTGATTCTTGGCTTCCCCATTCTGGCAAATTTATTTTCACTTTCTTAACCAATTCTCCGTTCAAGGAGATCAGGTGAGATGCTTCTGATTTTGATATGCATCTGGAAAAATGTTACCAATGATTTAGCGGACTCAAGAAATGAGATCATAAATTCTGTTCTTTCTTCCTTTGTCTACTACCAATTGGTTGATCTGCTGGAACTGCTCCAGACATTTGGCTTCTTGTCTCTAATGATCCATGGCACAGATCTTGTCTGTTGCATGACTAACATATGTTCTCTTGTTCCTCAAATGTGTAGGTGGTCTCTGTTTTGATAAGATTTGGTAGATCTGTTCGGAAGTATGGCTCAAGGGAGGTATTCTAGGATAGATAACAGGAGGCCCTCTTCGAGCTATTGCTCGACGGTGACCGTGGTTGTATTTGTGGCTCTATGCTTAGTCGGGGTCTGGATGATGACATCATCTTCTGATGGACCTTCTCAAAATGTCGATGAGGTCTCTCTTGAGAACAAAGACGGGATGAAGAAACAGCTGAACCCTCCTGCGGATGATGGAGGCAGCCAGCCATATGAAGACAAGAATGGTGGTGATTCGCCCATTGGTGAGAGGAATGGAGATGGCGATGTCAGCTCCTCTCAAGATGATGGCAACTCCGGCAAACAAGGAAACCAGGAAGAAAAGAATGAAGAGAGGAAAGATGAGAAAATCAAAGAAGAATCTAGTTCAAGTGATGAGTCAACAAGTGAGACTGAAGATGGAGATGGAAGTAACACTGACTCTGAATCAGGAACCGGAGATGGTGAAAGTGATTCAGATGAGAAAAAGGATTCGAACGACAACTCGGATGAAAAATCTTCTGACATTGATGAAAAGGATAAGAAATATGAATCCGATGACAGCGAGAAAACATCCAGTGAGGATGATGAGGAACAAAAGAAATCTGAATCTGATGAAAATGAGAAAAAACCCGGTGATGATGATGCAGAATCAAAAGCAGAGAGGGGCGACGATGAAAACAAAACCAGCAATGAAGATACTGAAACCAAAACAGACAAGGAAGACACAGAAACCAAATCTGACGAGGAATCTAGTGAAGCTGATGGCGAAAGAAAGGAGGGTCAGACAGAGGAAAAGGTAGACCAAGAAAGCAAAGAGACAGAAACATCTGCAAAGGTTGATCAGGAGAGTCAACCTAGAAACGAGACTGCACAGTTGGAGCTATTGAATGAAACTGTGGCACAAAATGGTTCATTTTCAACTCAGGCAACAGAGTCCAAAAACGAAAAAGAAGCTCAGCAGGAGGTTCCCCCTGAACAAAATGACTACAAATTGACACTCTGCAATACAACTGCCGGTCCAGATTATATTCCATGTCTGGACAATTTGCAAGCCATTAAGAGCCTTAGCTCCACTAAGCATTATGAACATCGTGAGAGGCATTGCCCGGACAACCCACCCACCTGTCTTGTTCCTCTGCCTGAAGGATACAGGCGACCAATTGAGTGGCCTAAAAGTCGCGAAAAGGTTTGCTAATACATGCATTTATGTCTTTTCCTCTGTTGATTAACTATTAAAAGCTTCTTTTCTATGCAGATCTGGTACAACAACGTCCCTCATACCAAACTTGCCGAGGTTAAGGGGCATCAAAATTGGGTTAAAGTGACTGGTGAATATCTCACTTTCCCTGGCGGAGGAACCCAGTTCAAGCATGGCGCTCTTCATTACATCGACTTCATTCAGGAGGTGAGTATTTCTGAATTCTGATGTAACTCTTCTGGTAAAGGAGTCCGATTTTTTTTTTTTTTTTGTGGATTTTCTTCAGTTGATGTCTCTGATGATCCTTTTCGGTCTAAGGCATGTCATTACCCATTATACTGGTGTGATCTTGAACTTTTTATCTGAACTTGCTTTGTGAAGTACCTTCTGACGGTAATTTATTTTGCAAGTCTGTCCCGGATATCGCATGGGGTAAACGCTCTCGTGTTGTTCTGGATGTTGGATGTGGAGTTGCCAGCTTTGGAGGTTTCCTTTTTGACAGAGACGTGATAACGATGTCTCTCGCTCCTAAAGATGAACACGAAGCCCAAGTGCAATTCGCACTCGAGAGAGGCATCCCTGCCATTTCTGCTGTGATGGGCACTCAAAGACTACCATTCCCTGGCAGAGTTTTCGACATAGTCCATTGCGCTCGTTGTAGAGTCCCATGGCACATAGAAGGTGATTAAGATAATGTGATTAGATTTAGTCGCTTAAGAACTTGAATTCACCTTGCTGTTCATCTTACTCAAACATGCTAGATGTTTTTCCGGATCTTTCTACCAATCGGTTTGTTTATGGCACATTGGCAGGTGGTAAACTTCTTCTGGAGCTTAACCGTGTTCTGAGACCTGGTGGTTTCTTTGTCTGGTCTGCTACTCCTGTTTACCAGAAGAATCCTGAAGATGTTGAAATTTGGCAAGGTTACAGAAAATCGTATCATCCAATGATCTTCTGCACTTGTTTATTACTTGTCTATACATCTTTTTTTCTTACATCTTGTCGACGTTGCTTGCAGCTATGGGTGCACTAACTAAGAAGATGTGTTGGGAACTCATATCCATTAACAAGGACACTGTCAATGGAGTTGGCGTGGCTACGTACAGGAAGCCTTCTTCAAATGAATGCTATTCAAACAGAGCAGAACAGGAACCTCCTGTTTGTGGTCAATCTGATGATCCAAATGCTGCCTGGTAAGTTCATTGTTCTGTTTTCTGATCGATTTTCATCATTCGCCTCTGATTTATTAAACAAATCCAATCTGTTAATTGGTTTGCAGGAAAGTTCCACTTGAAGCATGCCTGCACAAAGTGCCCGAAGACAAAGCAGAACGTGGATCTCAGTGGCCTGAGCAATGGCCAGCCAGACTGGGGAAACCGCCGTTCTGGTTGTCAAATTCCCAGACCGGAGTTTACGGAAAATCAGCACCTGAGGATTTCACCGTTGATTACGAGCACTGGAAACGTGTAGTGACCAAGTCGTACATAAAAGGGTTAGGAATCAACTGGGCTAATGTTAGGAATGTCATGGACATGAGAGCTGTCTATGGAGGGTAAGTAAAAAGTTCCAAACTTTTGTAAAATTTTTCAATCTTTTTGTCTTTTAGATATCGGAATTGGTTTATATTGTGCCGTTTCTCGCAGATTTGCAGCAGCACTGAGAGAAATGAATGTATGGGTGATGAATGTGGTTCCGATAGATTCACCAGACACGCTGGCTATAATCTACGAACGAGGTCTCTTCGGCATTTACCACGACTGGTGTGAATCCTTCAGCACTTACCCGAGATCTTACGACCTCCTCCACGCTGACCATCTCTTCTCCAAGCTGAAACAGAGGTTTGTATCCCGCGTTCTTCTGAAATCTCTACTTTCCGACCAAAGCTCCATTAACATCGCCCACTCCATACTCTTTTAATACAGATGCAATCTCACGGCTGTGGTGGTGGAAGTAGACAGAATGCTGAGGCCAGAAGGGAAACTCATACTACGGGACGACGCAGAGACCATCCAACAGGTGGAGATGATGGCGAAGTCAATGAAATGGGAGGTTCGGATGACATACTCTAAGGAAAAGGAAGGAATTCTCTGCCTTCAGAAGTCCATGTGGCGACCGGCCGAGGTAGAAACCCTCGCCTACGCCATTGCTTGAACCATATATTACCATACGCTGTCTAACTCATCACACGCTCGAAGCTCGTCCTAGGAAATCGATTTCTTTTTTGTTACGGTATAGGCGTCGATTTCGGAGTTCGTCGTTGTCTTGTACTTTGCTATACAGTTCATATGTTCTTGGAGCGTTAGATTATATAGTGAATACTGACTGTATCATTCCTCCATTGATTTGTTGAAGAGAAGAGTGTTTTCTTTCTGTCTTTTTGCCATTGTTACCATCAGGCCGAGGTTTTCGTGCAGATTAGTGAACAAGAAAGGTTTTTTTTCAAGCTTTGAGTTACTTCATCCACAAGAAACGGATGGTAGAGAAGAAAAACTGCGGAGACACATTTTAAATTGATGAACAGATAAATTACACATTGGACGCATAATTATGAAAGAGTTTTTGAGACTCTTGTGTCATTACATCTCTCACCATTTCCAGAAAACATTGGAACCGCACTTGTACTTGTCCTTCCCTTCACATTCCACATCCAAATCGTCGGAAATGAATGGAACTTTCTGCAGATCGAAACCAAGAAAACAAACGAATGACATTATCCATCTCCGAGTTCAAGAATTTTCCCGAGAAAGAACGAAAGAAGAAAAGAAAACGAACGGAACCTTTTGCTTGGCAAGATCTTGGCAGCCGGTGAAGTTTTCTGGGAATTTGCAGGTTCCAAACTGCACAGTGAAAGCTCTTGCAAAGTTTGCTCCACTTGTCGCCAACCTCTTCTTGTCATTCAGTTCCTACATCATCATCATCCAAATCCAAAAACGCCATCTTATTCTTCCGTGTAATCACAGAAAAACGACAAGAAACGGCTTCTAATTCTTACATCAATTTCACATAAGATCATCTATCGTGAAAACCTAACCTTGTTAGCCTTGCTCCTTTCGAGGTACTCGTCGATGACGCCAGCGTTGGCAGAAGAGTTAGCAGCCATGGCGGTGGAGAAGAGCGTTGTGGCCAATAGTACCACGGCAGCTCTTCTTCCGTTAGAGCCACCATCGACGACGACATCATCAGATCTTTGAGCTCTGATCACAGGCATCATCGGCTTCCTCTGTCCGAACCCAGCTGACGAAGACGACACCAAACCCACCTTCTGGTTCAGCTCCGCAGAAGCGGCGCCTGAGATGGCGTAGCTGCACGCCAACACGCTCGAATTCATGGTCGCCATTAGCTATGGAGTTTTCCAGGGGATGGGTCTTTGTTAGAGAGAGAGGATGATGATGATTTAGATTATAGTATGCGGGAGAAGGGGGAGGAGGCGATGATGATGTGGATTGAATGTGATTAAAGGATTGTGGTCGGAGTGTGGATAAGGTGAGATTTCCTCACTCCTATTGGTAAACTTTCAAACTCCAATATTACATTGTTTTTAATTTCAGATGCTCAAATTGTTAGTGGTCGTCTTCCCTTTAGACCCCACTCTCTTGGAACACCCCCCCCCCCCCCCAAAAAAAAAAAAAAAAAACTCTGGTCGTCTTCTTCTACAAACCCTTCAAAATACACCCATAAAGACTACACCTTTCCTGCCTTTTCTACAAATTTGGTTTGTGCCCTGCTCTTACATCTCATCATATGCAACACGCCCAATGTCTTCTTCTACAAACCCTTCAAAATACACCTATAAAGATTGCACCTTTCCTGCTTTTCTAATCCAGATTTGGTCTCCAGAAGACCAAAACCTTGAATAATGTTAACTTGAGAAATGTTGAACCAGAAACTGTAAAATTCTCGATTCCTACGTGTATGAACCAGCCAATCAAAGCCCTTTAGGTAAACAGAATGAAACTACCGAGGCTTTTGCTAAGACAATTGAAAGTAAGAGACTACACAACAGGGTCGACAACTTCATTAACAACCTTAGTAGCAAAGACAGAGATTAATCTGGAGGGAGGGAAACATAGTAAGATTTCCTGTTTCTTCTACGGTAAAGATGAACAGGAGAGAAGATCAGTGAACAATGCTAAGCCAAGCCAGAGAGGCCTAGCCGGTCAGCGACATTGTACATAACCAGCTTATCCCAAACGGGGCCAAAGAGTTGTTCTCCACCAATGGCAAACGTCAAAGCCCATGCAGAAAGAAGAGCCGAAAAGACTGTGAATCCGATAGCTGACCCGACAACATCTACAGCAAGGGAAGAATTCAAAGGTGTGTAAGAGTGAAGAAATCACAAATGTGATAGCTCAAATGAGGGAGATTAGAAAAACTCCAATAATCTTAACTCATAACTAAAGAAATCGAGTAAACCAGAGAACACAACAAATATTCCTTCAATCCCCTTGCCGAATTTACATCAGCACATCAAGATAACTGGTTATCTTTATGGAGAAGATGAGAAAACCAGCCAAACGTCGAGTAATAGCTCTGATTAAGCTACATGATACAACCACAGAGCAGCACCGATCGTCAAACAAGATCATAAGCCACTGACTTATCGGACATAATGGCCATACAGTCTATTTGTTTCCCCATTTATTTCTCGAGTCAAAAGATAGGATTGAACTAAAGTTTCTAGCAAGTAACTCCTACAGCCACTAAAACTAAATAATACGTCATCAGACCTCCTCTTGGCATGTATCCACAATCAAAAGCTTTCACCTTCTCCATGAATAAGTTCAGAAGAAATGCTTCAAATCAATTAGGAAAAAAGCAGTGTTCTTGGGTATGTAGCGCCATTCAAACCTTCCAAATACAGGATTGCCTCTCAGAAAGGATACATCCACAAGCCTGATAGAGCCAAGAAACCGCCACATTCAAAGTGGTTTCCCCATAATTTGCTTCCACCACATACTGAGGGGTTTCTATGGATTCTTGACGAGTGATAAAATAGCAAACCAGGAATTCTGGCTCGGGTACAACACGTGAAGCAAGTACCCACATAGACGACGGCTATCAAACACACACACACACTCAACAATCGACATGGTACAGAGGAACAGCACGATGTTACGGGTTTCGTAAGAACTCAATCTCCCAAAAACCTAGAATTTTGGACTAGAAAGATCAAAAATGGAAAATTTTCATGGAGATGAGTTCGACATGGCGACTTACAATGGCGGATGCGAGGGAAAGATCGCGAGTGACGGAGAACAGGCCAGAAATAGAAGCAATTGACGGCCCAGAGCCAAGGCAAGAGAGCGAAGCCGAATCTATAGAAACGACGAGCGTAATCCACTGACGCTTCCTCCGTCAAACCCAAGGGACCGTCGATCGTCGGCCACACCGGCCCCAACGACATTATCGGTGAAGACGACGACTGGTTCTGGCTCGGGTTGGGCCCATCGCTCCGCGAAGCTTCCATTCCGTAATCGTGGACGTTTGTCGAATGAGGGGATCTCTGGAATGACGCCGCACTTGAACGACGTCGTATATGAAGAAGAACCTCCCATCGTAAAGGACGTCGTTTCCTCCGTACAAATTCAACTATCTTCCTTACAGGACAACTTTTCGACATCAAGATTTAGACTACAAAGAAGTTGGCTTTATCGTCTTAAATTCGGTAATCTTGGATTATAGAGTTGCAAAGGCATGGATATATATATATATATATGCGTACACACATATCGTATATTTCCCAGGAACAGTTTGCTGATTTGACACTGAAACCAATCTGGAAAGTGCTCTACCAGTGACGCTCAGAGCGCAGAGATTCAAGATTGATGAATTTTTACAACCACGGAGAGATTCAAGTCTGATGAAATCAGATGCTCCGTTCAGACAGAAACAACAAATCTCTGTCTTTTTTTTTTTTTGCATATTCGATCAACAGATTGCAGAGACTTCTTCCCCGGCCTGCTCGAGAAACTCCAATGAATCACCATAATACCTATAAGCGTCTTGCCTTACCACAGCTGAATAGCCCATTTCGCCATTAGATTCAAGCCCTTTTACCAGAATCCTAAACGACGATCTTTCTGGCTCAATTCCTATGGATTGCATAAAGGCGTAGCAGTCCATGGCAAGATCAAACTGCTTATGATTCGGAAGAATCTCCAACAGAGAATCGAAACCTTCGATCACAGCCTCCAAACCCTTCTCTGCTTTCATTCTCGAGTATAAATATCCAACCTTTTCCAGCAATCTGTTTGCCGCCATTACAGCTATCATGTCGGAGTACAACCTCACCTGAAGCTTGTACCAGTACTCCTTCTGAATCTCTTCGAATACCTGGTTTCGACATAAGCATAACAAAAACTGATTACGACATTATCGGTGAGGACGACGACTGGTTCTGGCTCGGGTTGGGCCCATCGCTCCGCGAAGCTTCCATTCCGTAATCGTCGACGTTTGTCGAATGAGGGGATTCTCTGGAATGACGCCGCACTTGAACGACGTCGTATATCAAGAAGAACGGCCTTCCATCATAAACGACGTCGTTTCCTCCGTACAAATCAAAATCATTTCTTACAGGAAAACTTTTCGACATCAAGATTCAGACAACAAAGACGTTGGCTTTATCGTCTTAAATTCGGTAATCTTGGAATATAGAGTTGCAAAGACATGCGTATATATATACACACACACACATCTCGTATATTTCCCAGGAACAGTTTGCTGATTCGACAGTGAAACCAATCCGAAAAGGGTTCTACCATTGACACTCAGAACGCAGAGATTCAAGATTGATGAATTCTTACAACTACGGAGAGATTCAAGTCTGATGAAATCAGATGCTCCGTTCAGACAGAAACAGCAAATCTCTGTCTTTTTTTTTTTTTTGCATATTCGATCAACAGATTGCAGAGACTTCTTCCCCGGCCTGCTCGAGAAACTCCAATGAATCACCATAATACCTATAAGCGTCTTGCCTTACCACAGCTGAATAGCCCATTTCGCCATTAGATTCAAGCCCTTTTACCAGAATCCTAAACGACGATCTTTCTGGCTCAATTCCTATGGATTGCATAAAGGCGTAGCAGTCCATGGCAAGATCAAACTGCTTATGATTCAGAAAAATCTCCAACAGAGAATCGAAACCTTCGATCACAGCCTCCAAACCCTTCTCTGCTTTTATTCTCGAGTATAAATATCCAACCTTTTCCAGCAATCCGTTTGCCGCCATTACAGCTATCATGTCGGAGTACAACCTCACCTGAGGCTTGTACCAGTGCTCCTTCTGAATCTCTTCGAATACCTGGTTTCGACATAAGCATAACAAAAACTGATTACGATTTCTAATTTCACGAGGAGACAGATCAGAACGCGATGGAATGAGTGAAACCCTAACCTTGAGAGCGAGACAGGTTTCGTTCTGGCGGAGAAGTTCCCGGAGAACGGCGACCATATCGAATTTCAGGAGCCGCCGGAACTTGGAATCCATCACGCGCTCAAGCTCCGGCGACGGAGGGGGAGACTTGGCTCGCTTCAGTGCCTGCACCGCCTGAATCGCTTCGATGCTGAGGTTCCTACCTCTCTGCAATGGCTTCCTGTTCTTGCTCCGATCCCTCATCGTCACCGTCATGGATTTCACACCGCCAGTTCCTCCGGTAAAACCATGAACCCTCCATGGAAGACGGAGGATTTCGCCGACGCCAGAAAACAGATGACTGCGCAAACCGATTCCCTCCATTGTCGATGCCATCGTCTAATATGAGCGGGGCGAAAAAAACAAAATAAGCACCGAAAATGCTGGTTAAGGACATTTCGAACCGGTTAACAACAATCACAAACCAGAGGATAAGAAAACCGGTTGAGGACAAGGAAGAGTCAAGCTTTAAATTCCGAAATCAATTCCCATTATTTTTTCAAAAACAACATTAGAAAAAACAATGACCTATTGTACACAAAATCATCCCAAAACAGTAATGCCAACAAAACAAAAACAACAGATAAATAATGTCTCAGTTACTAAAACTCTGCCAACTCTTCCCGCAATTTGTCTCAGAGCAAGTGCATGGACACTTGGAATCATTTTCTGCAGTTTTTTTTGCCGCCGGCAATATAAACAACTACGAGTTTCTTTCAGGTCGATACAGCGGCCGTAGACTGGAGAGGCATTGCCTCGCCGCCATTGTTCAGAGCTTCCCAGTCAAATTCCCGCAGTATCTTAAACCGCTCATCCATTGGCACAAAACCAGTGTCAGGAGCCACGATTCCGCAAGTTCCAGCTTTGTGAAGCAGGACGATGCTCGAACCCATCTCGGGTCCGTGGAGTTTTCCAGTTAACAACACTCGAAGTGGCATGAAAAGCCCTTTTCCCTGTCCACCACAGCCGGAGAGATCGAAGTATGAATAACATTTGTAAACTTGGAATATGTTGCAGAAATAGATGTAGGCTTTTATCTCGTTTCAAAACGAAACTTAACTTTGCGTTTGAGCGATTTGCCAAAGGCTTTGACCCATTTCTGCCAACCTCCAGGACCTTCCGCTAGAGCGTTAGGGATCTCACCACTATCGTAAGCAGCCACGAGGCTGGCTGAAACTTCATGAAGCTTGTCTTCCACGACGGCTTTAGCCTCAGGACTGCATCAAGTAATAGCAAAACTCGGATGTTTGAAAGAAGGAAAAAAACAGCAGAAACAAACCTACAACATGTATGTAAACTCCTCCTTACCTAGCCAATGTGGCATGCAGAGGATACGAAAGCAAATTCGAAAGTGCTTTGTCTGAATCTGTCACCAAATCAATTCCATCTTTCAGAAGTTGGAGAGCTTCCTGTCCTTCAACAACAAAGCCCAAAACTCCATTAGCATCTCAAAAAACAGGTTTCTGATCAGATTCCTTAAAGTTTTAGAAAGTGCATCGTTTATATTTGCACCCCAAAGAGAAGGTAAATTTGATGATGAATCTTACATCTACAAAAGGGCCGTCCGATTCTGTGAGGATACCAGCGTATTTCCATCGGTCACCAATAAGTTTTTTCAACTTTTCAAACGGTAGTGCCCTCAGATGCTGACCATTCATCCATCTTCGAGATGGTAGACAACCGACATGGACAGAATTATTAGAAAACAGATAAGAAAATAAAGTGAAATAAACACACAAAACTGGGCTAGCTAAACAAACTCCGTCATCACCTTAGCTTAGTAGAATCAAAAACAGCACCACTTTTGTTGACACGCTCAATCGAGAATTTTTGAACTACAAATTACACAGGAATATCCAAGAAAGAAATTAGCAAAGCTCAGTTGCAGACATCAAACACTAGAGGACGATAAAAATGGAAATAAAAGCATATCGTTGGCAGTAAAGACCTACCAAGTTCCTCAAGTGTGAAAAACTCATTTTCAGTGCCATCACCCCAACCTAAAAGAGCCAAATAATTGACCATTGCCTGGGGAAGATATCCCATCTCCTTGTACTATTTTCCAAGAACAGGAACATAAAAAAGAAATAGTACAACCAATGGAATCACGTGACGAACCAGCAGTTGAGTTAAAAAAAAGAGAGAGAGAGAGAGAGACTACAACCATACACACCTGACCTACAGAGGTTGCCCCATGTCGCTTGGAGAGTTTACTTCTGTCTGGAGCAAGAATTAATGAAACATGTGCAAATTGGGGCATCGGAAACCCAAGAGCCTGCCATTGGGTGATGCTGTCAGCATGAACTTAAATTTTTCATTTCATCCTAAGGATCTCAGGACCTCACGAAGCAATCAAAGAAATAGTCAATTATAGCCATGGGAAGATGATGCTTACCTTGTATATTAACGCCTGTCTCAAAGTATTAGGTAGGTGTTCTTCAGCCCTGAGATGCAAGCGAAAAGATACAATGTAGATCATATTTGAGACCATTATACCATGCCCATTATGCAGTATGCAAAAAAAAAGGATTTTGGAGTCACCTTATAACATGTGAAATGGCCATGGTAGCATCATCTACTGTAACACAAAAGTTGTAAACAGGCTGGCCATTGCTCCTCATTACCACAAAATCTCCAAGTGTATCCAAGTTCCAGCATACCTTCACGACACTATCAAACAAGGTTAATAACTGGAGCCTTAAACCTGGTTATTAGCTTTATGACTTGCACTTGCAGAGAGATTGCTTGACAGCATGAGTACATTTTCGAATTCCGAAAATCATGATCATAGAGAACAGGGAAAAGTCGTAGAACATACTTCGCCACGAATGAGGTCATTAATTTTCAAAGAACCTTCCTTTGGCACGCGGAACCGATATGTGTAAGGAGTACCCTTCTCCAGCTCCTTATGTATTTCGTCATCAGTAGCAGTTGCCCATTTCCCACTATACTCTGGAGGCAGCTGTTTCAGCTTTGCAATCTCCTTCATCTTCTCAAGTTCCTATTAAAGAGTTTAAATAGATTAAAATCGACAACAGTGACCAGAACTCCCACGAAAAGGGATGAACAAAACAGTGTCTCATCTAATGGAATAGCCACTGCACAAAAGACATAAATGAAGCACCTAAACAGATGACTAGGAAAGTTCAGCAACCTAAGTCCGAAAATTGAAACAAACATATAGTTCAAAGATGAAGTCCAATACCTCATTGGAACAAAAGCAACGATAGACATGACCTGACTCCAAAAGCTTCTCAGCATGTTGTTTATAAAGAGAATTCCTTTCGGACTGCCGATATGGACCATAATCTCCACCTACACCAGGGCCTGAAATTCAAGCACATATAATTGATTACCCATCTGACATCGTGCGTGACAAAACTATAGCAGCAAGTACTTAAGAAAATGTGACATGAGACAGATTGAAGCGAAGACACCGTAGGGGAGCTAAGAATCGTATAAATAATCTGCGAAATAAGTAACCTTCATCCCAGTCAAGACCAAGCCAGGCAAGATCCTGAAGCACAGCTGCCTCAGATTCACGTGTTGATCTCTCCAAATCCGTGTCCTCGATCCGCAACACAAATTTCCCTCCTTTCGACCTGCAAAGTCGTCAGTGTAAAACAATTTTATTTCTCCTTGCCCTTCACGGGAAGACGACAATTCGAAGAAGCCCGATCACGAACCTGGCGAACAAGTAGTTGAAGAGAGCAGTCCTGGCTCCTCCGACATGGAGATTCCCTGTCGGAGAAGGCGCGAAACGCACTCTAACAGGCGCATCACTGTTGCCGGAACATGCAACCACCGCGAATTTTCGCCGGGAGCAGTAGAAGATGGAAGAAGACTGACGCCGGAAAAAGGAAGGCGCAATCTCCGGCAGAGACCTAACCCTAAGCCACGGCGTCCCGACGGCGACGCTCGCCATGTTGCAGCGAATAGCGATTTCAAAGGATAAAGCCTATCGGAGACGCCGTACTCTTGACTAACAAGCCGCTTCTCGGGTAAAACTCTAAGCAAAGCCAAAGCTTACAAAGAAGCCCCAAACTTTTTACTTTTTATACATTCCACCCCCATATTATGTTTGCGCTTATACTAGATTTCAAAGGTTGACTTTTTCTTCCAGCCGTTGACCAAGATCATCATCCCCAAAAGAACGGAAACGAAGCAACTTTGAGAAACATGCATAGATTGAATCCGTTTTGACAGTGACGGAATTATTTCTAAAAGATACAAAACATAGAAATTCTTCAAGACAACAAAGGGATCGCGTAGAAAGAACACATACAAGATGTGTTCGACTACTTCCAAGTTGTAAATTTGTAATTCCTTCATGGTTGTCTGTAAAATTTTCTGGCTTTTGATCAGATGAGCAACCAGAGAGAGGGCAGAAACAGTCACAACTCCAGATTGTTTCTGTTTTGGTTCATCTCAGAGTTCCTTCAAGTCGCCAGATAACGGTTGACTCGGCTGTAGCTGTGGCTGTGGCTGTGTCGGAACAAAGCAAGAGGAGGGATCGTCCGCAGAGAATCCGAACCGGTCCTGAATCAGATGAATGCTATCTGTGTTGCCAGGAAAAGTCAACGGCTCGGTCAGATCCTCCAACTCCAAGAAGAATGGTGTATTCTCATTATAGCCTGGGGCCAAGTCCCTCGGGGCAGGTTGTCCACTGAAAATGTCGTCTGCTGCCGAGCAAAGAGGAAGTTCCCCATCTCTACAAACTCCAGGCTCCTCATGTCCTGCCTGCAAATCCCACATAAGAAGCTGTCATTCAGCACAACCATATACATGTTCAGGTTTCTAACCCAAATGAAAACCTACGAGAAACCCTTCTATAATAATGAACTGAGAAGTTTGAATCTTTCACATGTAAAGTGAGATGAATGGAAGTAAACCGTACAGAACGTACCATAACCCCTTAATGGTATCACTACAAGACACAAGAACATGATATGATATACTACTAGAATATGCCAATCATGAACTATAATGATACCTACCTCGTTTTGGGAATATCCACCAAACCCGAAACTCTCATCATCAACAAAGTAATCCAGCATTGAGTATATATCATCACCAGGTATCTGAGTGGCCTCTTCCAAAGTCGGTATGCTATTGGGATCAAGAAGAGGAGTGTTATCTGCATAATTCAGAGGCAGAGACATGTTGGCAGTTGCTATCACATCAGAGACGCATGACTCTGACACCCTTCCACCACAAAAATCCTTGGGAGCCTGTGAGGTTGTAGCGACCAGACTGGTTTCTCTGTTCATCCCAGGCAGATATATGGGACTTTCGGTAGAAGGCAAAGCCGCAACATTTTCAGTGTTCTCTTCCCCATCACTCCATTCCTCTTCCTTAAATGGAGCCCCATACTGAGCTCCATTTCTTGGCCCAGGACCATCTTTCTTGAAGAGCACACATAGCACGTAAGAATCCTGCAGTGGAAAACTTATATTAAATGAGCAAACGGGATAGAATAGAATTCTTATACTACCAAACATAGAAGCATTTCCGTTAACATGAAAGCATTACCTGAACAACATCCTTCTGAGCCAGTCCCTTGTCTTCAAGCCTGTATTCATGCATAACCCAATCAGTCCGCTCACCTCGAGGTGACTTGCCGCAGTGATACACCAGAGTTTTTATCTTTCCCACAACTTCATTATTGCAAAGAACAGCTCTATCCTTTCCTGTCATCTTCCAGTAACCATATTCAGTAGCACGGTTCATTCTAACCCCATTGCCATATTTCCTTTCTCTAGGGCAGAAGAAGTACCACTTAAGATCTCCAGTCCTTAGACAAGATTTATCTGCAAAGATCAAAGTACAGTTAAATTAGAGAATAACGAAAGACACCCAAAAGCATGAAACAAGAAACAAGCAGCATCGGAGATCTTTCATAAATACCTGGTAAATCTGAAGGTTCAAACTTGTAAATATCAATTTCTGCTATGGCTTCAACCAGGAGCTTTTTCCCCATCACTTTCCTCTTTAGGTAGTACTTCACCAGTTCAACGTCAGTAGGATGAAACCGAAATCCAGGAGCTAAGTGAGTCTTCACCATTGGAAGACCCCAAAAGGGAAGAACGTGTACTCTCCTAGAAAGCCTCCTTTACCAATAAGTGAAAATTTATGTTCGGTGCCTGGTGCTTTTTCTTCAAATTGGCAAAAAAAGCACCAGACAAGCAATCTGTCTTTTAAGTTGTTAACAGAAACAAACAGAGAAAATTTTGGAGAATCCAACAAGAAACCTTACTAAACGACGAGAAGAAGAAAAAAAGAAGGGAAAAACTCAACAGTTAAACTGTCAAGTCCAGTGCCTGAACAAGATTGTCTGAAAGCACCACAGCCTCCCCCTGCTCATAAAACCGCACTCGCACCAAAGAAAAGATGGATTCGTCTTGCACAGATCAACAGACATCTGGTGTGCAATGGAAAGCCTGTTTTAGGACATCGAAACAAAAAAAGAAAGGAAATTTTTGAACTACACGACCAACTACGTACCAAAATGTACAGCAGATGAATTACCCACTCATTGGGACAAAATCTTGCCAATCCTCATAATTTTTAGCAACAAACATCAATGAACGAGTAAAGCGAGAAACACCAAAACCAATAGAAATCAGAAACAGAAAACGGGTTCATCGAACTACATGACAACCGTACAAAACCCTAAAATTCCAGCTCTTCTACACATTGAAGCATCAAAGATTTCGCGCAAAACCCTAAAAAAGATCAGATCTTTTCGTCACGAACTGCGTAAAAAAAAAATCGATTCAACTCGAGAGAAACGATCAAATCAATCCCCGAGCCGATAACACCCAGAAAGTGAAATCAGAGATACCCACAAATAGAAACGAAAATGGATGACGAGAACCAGCGAGCAATCGAGATCAGAGCGTAGAAAGGGAAGAAACAGTAAACATAACTCGTACCCGGAGAGAGAGAAAGCTGCCGGAGAACGGTGGGCGGCGCGGCGGAGGTGCGAGCGAGCGAGAGAGGAAGGGGGGAGTGGCGTGAAAGAGAAGCCAGAGAGTGAACAGCAGTGCCGAGTCCACGAGTTATATAGACGGAGAGAAATAAGTGGGGCCTCGTGTGGAATAAAATGGCATTTTTGTTTTGACGGCCGAAAAAGCAATTAATCTTTTTTCTTTAGAAATAAATTTCAATTTCTGATATTATTTTCTTAGAATCTAAAATCAATTTTATTTTCACAAATTATAACTGATGGTTTATGATGTAATTATTATGGAATTGGGATCAAATTTTAGACGGTCGAATATGGGGGAAGCATTTTCGTATGCACATTTGAAATTTACAAATTAAATAAAAATGAATATTATAGGAAATAATAAATTTTAAAAGGGAAACCTATACTGTTAAGTAAGTTGACTGGTGGTGGTCCATTATTTTATAAAATGGAACTCAAAGCCTTCGCTTCTCATTCGTCCAATGACTTCACGGATACCATTTTTTTTCAAGTCATCGTGTTTTCAGCATTCAATTTCTCTTTCCACAAATTGACACCAACAAGGGTTTGATTTCTTTTCTTTTTTATTTTTTTAAAAAAAGTGTTTCTATTCCATGGCTTGAATTTTGCACCATATACCAAATTAGGTTTGATTACTAGAGTTTGCATATAATTTTTTGTAATTCAAATTAATCGAACCAGAAGAAGAAGAAAGTAATCAAGTATAGTACTACTTTGCCGAATAATAACAGAGAAAATGTGATTGATAAAACTTGTAAAAGAGAATCGGATTTCGACAAAAACGATAAACAATACAACATTATACACTATCAGTATCACATCTCCTCATGTTTTTCACATCAACCTTTTTGTTTTTTTGGTATGAGTGGAGACAAAACATAACATACCCTTTTGTCCGCTGCAATCAAACTTGTGGCTTCTGCAACAACAATCAAACCTCTGCCCAAAGCAAAAACAAAAACTCAATTCTGTACAAAAGTGTCCGTTTTAGTATGTGCCTCTTTTTTTGTAACACATACCATTACCTCTCCTTTTCCGTGTGAATCATTTCTTTGTTCCCCCCAAAATATTAGGGTTGCTTCCCCAGTCACTCGAAACTCGGGGGGAAACTCAGAATCCGTCATGGATTCCAATGCTTACAACGACGAAAAGAATTCCTCACACAAAATGAAGATGGAGCACATAGACCCGACATGGCTTCTCCATTTCATGACAGCGTATCAATGTTCGAGGTACCATTCTTACTCGGTTGTTTATGTTACTTGAAATCCCTCTCTCTCACAGTATTCCATTCAAGACCCTTTGGTAGTAATCGTACTGGCGAGTTCGCCAAGCATCTAAGCTGCTACTGATGAGAGAGAGCACCAAAGAAACGCATTGCTGCCCATCACACAATTCGTAAAATACGATTAGCATTCACATGTAATTCCCGATTTGTGGATTGTGAAAGTGAGGCATCAATTTGAGAATCCAGGAAATAGAATTTACCTCTTCTGTTAAACTTAGATGAAACCGTTTTCTTAGGTTCTGAATGGTGCGAGGACCGCCTTTAAAGCAAGGGAACCCTGAGTCCTGATTCAAACACCAAACAAAAAAATTAATCAATCCAGTAAAAGATGCTAATTACCATATTCGTCACCCATTCTCGAACTTAAATTGTGTGGTTAATGCCTGTGGGATTAGATATATCCTGTAATTGGGCATCTTTGACTGAATCCTAGAGATGTCACGCTTCCAGAATTAACAGTAACACAACCTAAAATCCTTGGCACTTCAAGCCAGAAAGCCCCATTAAGCAAAAGAACAATGAAAAGGCGGAGATCATGATACCTGTAGCATTTCAACAAGAAGAATAATGCGTTCTGCATGCTTTCTACATGTTAGGAATCCTTGAATGCATAGCACCTACAGTAATTCATGATTAATGGGAATTAAATCACAGCCACAGAGAAAATGAGATGTAAATGAGTTAAAATTTGGTGCAGAAGGTGCAAGGGAACAAACAGAAAGAAACAGTATCATTGATACCTTGAAATAATCAAAGAACTCGCTTGGAAGCCCCTCAGCATCAGAATCCATGACCTAGATGTCACAAATATTTTTAAGCATAACGCTAGACCTTAACTTTCAAAGGTAGTAATAAAATCAAACAGCCCTTTGAAGAGACGAGGATTCAACTTATGTCTTACCTCAAGAAGTTCACGGGTTAACTTGAATGGTGCACTCTCAAAGTTCACACCACCAGGTGAATTTGAAAGCATAAAGCCAAAATCAATGTGTATAATGTGACCGTCTTCATCCAACAGAAGATTTCCATTATGACGATCTTTCACCTAACCAAAAAAAAAACAATAAACCACAGACATTTTCCACAGCACAATCTAATGCGGTCATTTATGAAATTCATGGACAATGTCAGAGCATGTCAAACTTATAGAGTCCTATTGCAGTTTTAAAGATTTCAATCCCAACATAGACGAATACACAATGTACTCAGAAAATAGCTTATAAGAACATTTACCTGCAGAAGGTAACAGACCAAGGAATACCCAGCCATACTCTCAACAAAATTCCTCTGCAACAGGACAGATTCTTAAGATTTCATATGTACCACATATAGGACTTATCCTATAATGTTGTTTGCAATAGGCAAAAATAAAGAACAAAGTAAAGACCAGCACAAGTTGCTACAATAAGGATTTTTTAATGGATGTGTGAATAAGCCATAAAATTTTAAACATAAAGCCACTTTTTTTTTATTTCTGTCATATCGTTTATCTAACTGTTAATGAGAGTTCTGCTATCAGAAGTCAAACTTGCTTATCAAAAACGAGTATAAGTCACATCTACCCAAGGTTTTTCTTCTCAATAACCATACAGCACCAGATAAAATAATATGAAAACCGAAAACAGGATCATTTAATACGCAAAAACAGGCTGCATCTTATGTGGTTTCCACATCTCCTCCAATTTAACTATAACATCTTGAAGATGAAGTTCAACAAAGGAAACAGTATTCCTGAAACAAAACAACCAACATGCTAGTTTAACTGAAACATGTTCCTACAGGTGCACACATTACCTGGGCAAGCTTAAAACTCGGAGAGTTTTCTTTGTACTTCACAGCAAAGAAATCACGTAAGCTTGTGATGTTGGGGTATCTACTTTTGATAGAATGAATAGAAGCCTGCAGGTGACACAAATGATACTTTTACATGCTTTTTCCCAGTCCAAATTGGGGGTCATACTGCAATTCAAGGGACATGGTTTGCACTATTACCGTATCTGGAATTGTTTCTATGAGAGCAGTATATGAAGAAGTAACCAAAACTTCATAAGGACGTAACCAGAGTGGTAGACCAGCTTCCTGGAAGATGTCTAGTGGATACACAAGATATTTACCCTAGATGAGAATATGCTCGTCTGACAGCACTAACAGAACAGAATAAATAGTAAAGGAACTACATCAAAAGAAATACAAAATTAACATACACAATAACGGAATTCTCACTCACCATAAAAGTGAGAAATGAGTTGCACAGCAAGATGTTCCTGCCGGCAGTCATCACCACTCTTGACAATGATCTGCAAGACAAATAGAAAACACGGGTTCTAAAGCTAATACAAAACTAGAGGGAGAAATGAATACCATCTAGAGAATGGGTATGGGTAAAACAATGCAGAAGAACCCCCGAACCAGTGAAAAATATATATAAACCTCCTATATCTCTACCCAAGAGATACATTTAAACAGCTAGAATGATATCAAGAGAAGTGAGGAATAACAAACACTGCCATGTTTACCAGAAGGGTGTCCCCTTCGAAATTCAAAAGGTTCCTACAGAACTGTTCAGCTAAGAAGTGAGGAACAACAGTTTTATAAAGTAAATTATTTTCGGCTTCCCTCCAAAATACCAACTATTCCTTCCCAACTTCCACTAAATAATATGGTTTCCTGACAACCCCAGTGGATTTGCTAGCTTGGCCATGCCAATTATCCATCTAGTTTAATCTCCTTAAACCATTGACAAAGCACACAAGTCCAGAAGATCATATATCTCCAATCTAATTAGTGCATCTTTCAAGGCTTTATGATCAATCCACCAAAAATCTAGTTTCAGGAGATTAAAGACAACCAGAAGAGGAATATAGTGGACAGTGCAACGGCAGCAAATAACTAGAGGGAATAGCTTTAATCAGCACTTACAGAACGCAAGTCCCAACTCGGTAGTTTGCCATATATTGAGGCTTTACGGATCCTCTCCTTCTTTACCTCCCAAAGCTCACCTGCTAAGGCATCACCAGCCTTCAGCATCCCACCATTGGCCTAGTGAACAATAACCAAAAGAAAATGTAAGATTTGGGGAAAAAAAACAGTAAAAGGAATATAGAACATGTATTCACCCTTGGTTGTGCATCTGATGAATCCTGGCCAGCCCCTTTCAGAGGAAGACCTGGAGGTGCCTCTCCCTTTGCAGCAGCAGCCTGCATAAGGAAGTCAATACAAGGGAAAATGAGAAACTAATGGCAGAAATTAAAGATGGTAATAAACAGTTATGTATTTTACAAGGAAAATAGAACGCATGGGCCATAGAAGCACGGGTTCTGGCTAGTATCAAACCTGACTTTTGTTCCTTTCATCAACCCAAGGCGCCACAATAAAGCAAATAAAACTTTTACTGAACAAGCAATAAAATTCTTATTTCTTACAAACTACCTCCAAGGAAACACTCACCCTTACTTCCTCTATGGCAATAGTACTTGGTACACGACGATGTTCCTTTCGACGGGGCCTTACGGGATCAGCAATATCTTCCATTCCGAGCCCCGGATCAGCTGTCAGCACCACCCTTACCCACTCAAGATCACCACCCCGGCCTGCCCTGGTGGCCTCAGCCACACCCTCAGCAAGTGAATCACTCACTATTTCAGGAACTGAAGAATGCTTCTCCACCGACAGACTTACATTCACAAGTTTCACCTTCACATCTGACTTATGAGTCATTGCTTGATCAATTGCTTGAGCAGTAGATGGTGACATTCGATCTGCACTGTTGCGGTAAACCTCCTGAGCAGTCCATAGTGGATAAGCCCATGAAGGGGGCTTCTGAAGAAATGCGTCACCATTTGCCAATGGAATCCCGCCTTTAGAAAGCTTTTGGGGGTTAGGTGCATCTCTAGTGCTGGTAGAACAAATTCAAGAAGATAATAAGAACATTTGAGGAATGCTATCACGAAGATTTTATGACTTAGTGCAATAAAATGACCTGTATAACAGGAATAGAATCAATATATTTTGCTTATGTTTTAGCATTGCAAAAATTACCTGGGTGCTTCTGCTTTCAAAACTTCAGCACATATCAGATAAGGTGCTTTTTCCCTAGAATTCAAAAGAACAGCTTCATCTTCAGGAATATGAAGAACGCGATATACCCCTTTCCCCATTGGAAAACAGATTCCTGAAAATGTTATTTTATAAAATATCACCATTTGAAATTAAAACCATATATCACAGCAGAGCTAACATACGCAGAGAGTTAAAAACAAGTATCAGAAAATGCATCCAACACAAGCCCAAAGATAATTCCTAAAAGGATTAGACCTGATGATTTGATCATGTGACTCAAAAAAATATAAGTCCAAAAAATCCTATCTAGATTCTACAAGAGAAACAAAAAATAAGCAATAAATAGAAATAGCAGAAGTGGACATAAATAGACCTTCCCACACAACAGAGAAGAAGAATATGATATGCAAGGAAAAACAAAGGTGACAGATGAGCAAAATCTCAGGCACGTCATATAAATGCCAGTAAAAGAAAATTATGATTCAAAGGATTTGTTACCTGATCAAGAGATGTTAAGGAAATAATTTAGATCAGTGCATCACAGAACGTGCTAAAAAGGTACCACACAGAATGTACACTAGCTCATTATATATGTGGTTCTCATTCTCTCATATATGTGTAAACAAGTAAATTCAACCTCCAAATAAGTAACTCCTCGAGTAAAAGATAATTCTAGAAAATACCTCCAGTAGTTTCAGCCTCTGCTACATGGGAATTGATCTCTGCAAGGGACTAAACCAGACAAGACAAACATAAAATCAGAAAATATAAGGTGAATATTAGCACCTGAAATGCAATCCCATATATGAAAAGGCAAGGAAGCAGGGACCACCTCACGAAGAGCAATTTTCCTATCTTCAATAGGAAAGATGTCTACCAAACCATATGACGTTTCACATAATGCTTGCACAAACTCCAAAGACTCATGGTAACTGCCTTTCCTGAACTGTGCTGCCGTACTGTTTGGCAATGGAGGCTTAGCAGATGGAGTATTATTCAGCTGTTTAGGTGAACCCGATCATTAGGATAAGAAAGATGAGCACGAGCAGAATAAAGAACATGTGACAGTAAAGAATGGCAGACGTAGATAAATAATCAACCAAAGTTGAACAAGTTCTCTATCTCAGCCCATAAATTAGAGTCAACTAAAGTTCACACGGGTCAGACATATGACATGACTATTGGCAGTACCTACCACAGTGGTAGGACTGTTTTTTGTTTTTAAACCAAGCTACCGCCTGTATGACTGTTTTTTTATTATCTTTCACCATTATATGTCCAAAGGGAAAACTACCGACCACAGCAAGCACAAATGTTATGCGGTCTAATTATGGGACCAATGGATCAATTTTCAGTTATATCAAGGAAACCAGTAATTTATCATTACAACCTAAAAAAATTCCTGTGTTTACTTTGAAGACAGATTAGAAAGAAAAGCAGATGTCAGAGTGGTACAAAAGAAACTTATATTATCAAAATTGTGGAGGAATAAAGGAACAAATCAACTGATGACTAACCTGCTTATGCTTCTTTGAACCAAAGAGTTCAGAATCTTCGACAGACCGATCACGATCTTTGAACAATTTGCGGAAAAAATTTTCTGTCCCAGGACTGCTTTCACCCAAGTTGCCATTATTGTTAATTTCATTTTCTGATAAAGTTTTGGTGTCTTCTGGGTGTATACGGAACAATCTTTTAAATAGCGAGAAATCTGAAGATTCCTCATCTTCGCTTTCATTCCCAGTATCTTTTTTGTCCTCAAACTTTTCCTTAAAGAATTTTCTGAAAAAACCCTCCTTTTCATCATCTTCAGCAGATTTATCATCACGTTTCACCATTCCATCTTTTTCATTCATGTCATTCCCATGTCTTTTGTCTTCAAACTTCTCCTTGAAAAATTTCTTTAAAAAACCATCTTTCTCCTCATCATCCATTGCTTTAGAAACTTTATCATCCTCATTTTTGCTGTCGCGGAATAGTTTCTTGAAGAACCCTTCTGAGGTTACATTCGACTCCTCTTCCTCACTTTTGTTCTCCTTTAACAATTTCTTGAAAAAACTTTCTGAGCTTGCACCTGTGTCCTCTTCTTCGGCTTTATTATCCCGTAACAACCTCTTAAAGAAACCCTCTGAACTCGAAGTCAATTCCTCATCATCTCTTTTAGTACTCAATCGCCAATTGAAGAATCCCTCAGAACTATTCGTTACCTCGTCATCTTCTGATTTATTGTCTTTCAAAATCCGTTTGAAGAAACCCTCCGAGTTCGTCGTTGGTTCATCATCCTCACCTCTACTGTCCCTCAAAAACCTCTTAAAGAACCCATCCTTTTCACTATCTTCCTCGTCTTTGTCCACTGACTTCCTAAACAACAAAGCATCTCTAACTTTAGGACTTGGGATTAGTTTCTTGAAAAGCTTATTTTCATCGGGAGGTAACTGACTACCATCATCTTGCAAGTTGCTCCCTGGTGAAGGTGAAAAGGACAAAGACTTCTGAGTGGGAGGAGAAGATGTCAACGAGAAGAGCTTCTGTTTCGAGGACAAGATTTTATTTAGGACCTGATTCTTGCTCCCTGGGGTTGAAGATGTCTCATTCTGTGGCCGCAGAAGAGTTGACCACTCACCCATCAAGGTAGCTGCCGTTTGGCACTTCTCTTGAATCCTGCTGATGCCTTCATTATCATCAGAATCCTCAAGCTCCGCCAACAAACACCAATGCACTTTCAAAGCTATTTTCAGCGACTTTGAACAAATATCTATTACAAACTTGTCAAGAGATGGGCTTGGTTTGTGCACCATCATGTAGCAAATCTGGAACAGATAGCTCTCAATACCTGATAAGGGAAGTGTATACATCCTATTACATAGGTAATCTCGAACACCCGCATGTTCATGCTTGTATAGATAACTGACTGCAATCCACTCACAGAAGAATGCAGAATCAAAAAACCGAATAAGCCACCCATTAGAGCCAGACTCGCTGATGAGGCTACTGTGCGAGGAGATCTCACGGGGTGACTCAGCCGAGTTTCCTCGGACCAGCGAGAGAAATCGTGCCATTGGCATTGTTGCTGATCAACCGAGAATGGAAAACCCTAGCCTACATACAAAAATTAAAATCATCCGACGCCAACAAACAGATCCAGGATTCTGTTCACCAATTCATCGGGCCCCGATCTAAACCAGATCAATAACCTAACAGAGACTTCCTCCGAGAACTAAACCTTTTCTCCTTAAACCTTCACTCAAAACCCTAATTTCCAACCTGTAACCGCCTCAAACTCGAAATTCCAACGTCCAATCGAGGAAATGGCGACTCCACAATGCTATGAACCACAGTTTCCCCTCACCAGTAAACCAAAATCGCAAAATAAAGGAGCAAGAAAAAACACGGATTCCTCCTCTCCTCCTGAATCGAAAAGGTGGAAATCGAAGCCGATCAACAATTTTCCCGGAAGCCAAACGAATCTCACGGGAATAAGGAGAGAGAGAAGAGACAAAATCCTGCGATAAGCTTAGCGAAGAAGACTTGATTCGTCGTCCTCTCTGACTTTTACGCGTGAAGAAATCAGAGCAGACAGCGACAATTGAACGGTCGGAACCAATCGCCGTCGCTACTGCCGGAAGCGGTTGTCGAGGCTACGGTCGTCGTCCTCGGCTTTTTAGGTGGCACAGAGGGAAA